GGCCGCCGCCGCGCCCGCGACGGCGCAGGCGGCGCCGGCGCCGCCGGGGCCCGTCGCGCGGCTGATCGGCGCGGCGGCGGCGCTGGCCCCGGCGCTCAGCTTGGATACGGTGCCTGAGGCGATGCAGCTGCAGTCTGCTCGCAGCCTGGGGTCGATCCTCAACCAGCTCGAAGGCATGGACGACGCCGTGCTGATGAGCACGGACATGGGCATGCCCAACAGCGATCTGAACGTGCGAACCTCGGACCTGCAGATCGGGTCCGAGGAGATGCTGCGGCACGTGCCGACGCCAGAGGAGGCGACCGCGGCGCGCAACACGGCGTGGCTGTGACGCTCGCGCACCCCTTGCGCCCTGGCGGGCACGGCCTGCTGGCCCGGGCGCATTTGCGACCCCTCACTCCCTTATTCCTCGTTTATGACCCGCTGTCACGGACGCCCTCAGGCACGCCGTGCTTGCAGCCCCGCAGCTGGCGCCGCCACCGCTTGACTGGCAGGGCGCCCCATCCACCCTGCGCGGGACGGCAAAAGTTGGCAGCGGCCTGCTAGCAGGCTGGCGCCGCGTGCTCTTCGCTCCATGCCGAGTGGCCCCTCCCGTACCCACCTGCCCCTTGCATTGGTGGTTTGCCACTGATTTGCTGCTTTGCCGTGACTCGCGTTGCTGCGTCGTTGCGCCGGCGGGATCAACCGCTGGCCGCTGGTTGCGTGGGCCCTGGCACCGCCGCCCTGCTGTTGCGCATGCCCGCGCGTTTGCACACACCCCTGACGACGCCCCGCCGGTCGACGCCCGCTTTCATAAGCTCTTCTTTGAGCCCTCTTCTCCGACGTGCTGACCCATATTTTACAGCCCCTGCTTGCAGCCTTGACAGCCTGCTTTGGCAGCCCAACGTATCATGTGGCCGACCCTGCAACAACACAAACCGGAGTTGTGCGCACATGCGCGCCATTCCCTTGCCCGTCCTAGCCGGCTTGTGGCGCACATGGCACCGCAACACTGGTGCTGTCGCAAAGCCACAACGGCTGTTGATGCAAAGGGGCAACTCGTCGACGCACCTGCTGCCCCCCATCCCCCTGCTGTAATCATCGCGTTTATCCCACCCGCGCTGCGGCCGCTGTGCTTTGAAGCTTGCTGCAGCGGGCCCGCAAATACATGGTGGGGCGCAAGAGAGGCCACATGCACCACCTTCTTGCGTACGTGCAAGCGTGTGCCTTGGCAGCCCAAGCATGCAAGCCCAACCCGCTCACATCCAGTCAGCAGCGCTACGCGTGCGCAATAAGAGGAAAATGCAAGCAAATTTAAAGAGAAGAAGCTAGGAGTTTGCTGTGGCATGTCAACATTCGTGCGGCCCCCTCCCGCCTGCCCGGCCTGCTCAGCCCAAGCCTGCCACACAGCTGCCAGGCAATGGCTGGCGCTGTTCATAAACAGGGGAATCGGCGCGCGTGTGTCAAACCTCAACGCAGTTGATTGACAGGTCTGACCAACAGTGCCCAATGACTGTCTCAGGGCAAGCGGTGGTGGTGGTGCTGAACAATTTGCGACGTCTCAGGCATAGTCGTCAGTGTGTTGATTGATGAGCCATGATGAATCTTTTTGATTTTCATCAGTACGTCCCTGGTGCGTACCTCAGCATGACGTCAACCATCTCGTCGGCATGCTTGCGGTTGCGGTCCCACTGCACCAGTAATGGGAAGGGAGGTCGCCAGCTTTTTGGGTGACCAGGCGCACACGCACGTGCACACGCTCGTGCACACACACGCGCGCACTCGCAGCAGCACACGCTTGAGTACCAATCATGCACGCCCCCGCTCCACCTAAAACCTGCCTTGCAACGCTCCCCCCAAAGGCCCACCCACGCCCCCGACCGCACGCCTGTCCCCCCTGCGCCACGCCACGCCACGCTACCGACGCCCACGACGGCACGCCTCGCGCCACGCCACGCACCACGAAGTCCATGTGGCCGTAGCCGGCGTAGATAAACTGCCCGACGCTCACGTTGGCCGGGACGCGCCTGAACTGCTCCCGCGTGTCGTAGGCCATTGTGAGGACGTCGTACTCTGCTAGAAAGTAGGCCTGAGGCGCCCTGATGCGCGAGATGTCTGCCGGGCGCGCGCGTGAATCGGGGTTTGGTGGGGGCCGGTCAAGTGGGGGCCGGGCGCACGCGGGGCAGGCACGTCAGGCAAGGCGTAGGGAGGGGGGGGAGACGGGTGGGCAGCGAGGGTGCGGCGGCGGCTCCAGTTGTCTAAGGGATGCCAGTGACGCCACGGCAGCTGTGGGTTCGTGCGAGCGAACGGACATCGGCGGACACGCACGCGCGTCCAGCTGACGTGGCTTGAAGAGGGGGCTGTCCGCGGCGCACAGTGCCGTGCAAGGGCGCTCACCGTATGATGGCGGGATCTTGGAGCCGTACTTGGCCTGGTTGCAGGACTCCTTCATGGGGTGGGGCTCCAGCCGGTGGCCTTTAACCCACTTGGTGCGATTGCAGAGCGTGCCTGCCCAGATGGTGAGTAAAAATGCATGTGTGCATACTTGTAAATGAGTGGGGGCATATTGGCTGGTTCATGCAGCTGCTGCTCGAGGGGTGAGTCGTGTGCCCTACACACATGCGTCGCCACTGACGGTGACGGGAGCCCCATTGCTGCACCCGCTCCCGCGCCCCTCCTCCCTCGGCGGCTGTGCCATGCGACCCCCCAGTCCAGCGCAGCCTCTGAAACCACTCCGCGCCCCAGGAGGGCGAAGCTGTGAATGAATGCACGACGAGCCTCCCACCCACCAAAGTCGTATTGCGCAAAAGTGGGCTTCCTGTCCCGGAACATCTGGGCCCAGTGCTGCAGGTTGCGCGACCCCACGCCCGATGGCCACTGATAGGTGCAGGTGGATGCGGCGCGGGCGGCATGGTGGGGAGACGGCAGAGGCGTGGTGGGCGCCATCAGCTGCAACGTCGCAGCCCGTTGCCGCAGGATGGGCGCGGGCGAAGGGGCTGTGGCAGTGCAAGCCCAGGGCAGCAGGGGACGGGGCGAGGGAGTTACAGCAACACGATTGGGATGCAGGCCGTCACTTTGGCCCCACCGTGCGCCAGATGGCAAGGTAGTCATCTGGCAGGGCAGGATTGGTTTGGGGGGTGCGCAGTGGTGAGACAGGTCGTTCAATTTGTCCCAAGGCCAGGCTCGGCTGGTCGAACAGAAAAAGCTTGCCGCCAGCAAAGGGGTTACCGTATTTGTGAAATGAGGCGCGGTCAGGTTTGCCGCCCTTCTGTCTCATCGCACCCCCCCCTGGGCCTGTTTGCCTCGAGAGTGCGGCTGCGGCTGCGGCTGTGCGCAGAGCTGCTGGCTGGGCTCCGCGGATGGGCGGGGGAAATGCACAGGGGCATGGCCCGTGATAGCAGAATCAATGCGCACCTGGGCTGATGAACTGTGATGGGCCGAAGAAGAGGAAAGAGATCAGCGCCCCGCAGATTTCATCGGGTGGGTAGGTGCTGCAGAAGGTTGTTGGTGGTGATGCAAAACGGCAACCACGTCAACAGGTGGCACAGCCAAGCGGTGGGCCGGCCAACCTGTTGCTCAGACATACACCAACAGTTTGGTCGCATCTCCAGCCCCCCCCAATCGAGGGACATTGCATCAATGGCAGGATGGGCAAAGGGGTTGTTGAGGAGGTGAGCCCATGTTCAGGTCCTGGTTGGTTCCCAACATTTGAAGCATCACCACAGACGGAAGCCACCTCCACAGGCGCGCCCACCGCAGGGCGGCAGAGGGACACAGATTTGGGCGTGCACGCACATAAACCCTGCGCCACCTCGGGCTTGCGGCATGGGGTCTGCATGCCCCCCACCTGCAGAGAGTCTGGGAAACAGGGGCCGTCAGGCGTGTGGGCAGAAATTCCGGGATCACCAGATCAGACAGGACCTGGGCTCACAAAGCAAAAGGGTTGAAAGGTGGGTGGGTATAGGGCACGGTCGGCGGGGGCCGTTGGGGCGTGTGAAGCGTTTGGATGGTGTTTATCTGGCAGCAACGCGCAGCACGGCGAGGAGTTGACGCACAGGCGCGGGCAGCGAGGAGGGAGTCCGCCAAGCCAGCCCTACATGCAGCTCGACGTGCATGGCACCATGACATGACGTGCCCTCGCAACCAGCCAAAACCCTGAGTGTAGTCCTGGATCCTAAGACTGCCACGCCCTGATGCCCTTGCTGTTGAACCCATGATGAACCCTGCACCCTTCAGCCCCCCAAAGCTGATCCTGCCTTCCAGCTCTTCCGCCATTCAAAACCCTGTGCTCGACCCTGAACCCAAACCTCGCAACCGTCCCCACCCATTACGCTATGCTGAGCCGCGCTACCCACAAACCCCAGTGACCTGATCAAGCTTAGCCGTGGCGGCAAACCGCAGGAACGGCGCCGTGACTTCCTCTGCACATCAGTTGGGATGTGAGGTGGGGACAGCCGTGGCAGGCGTGGCAGGCGTGGCAGGCGTGGCAGGCGTGGCAGGCGTGGCAGGCGTGGCAGGATTCAGATCAATTGGGAGGGTTTGTCATTTCAATGTGCGCCGCGCGCGGCACGACCATCAGCCGCCTCTGCACCGCCAAAAAAATGCAACGCATCTGCCTCAAGTGATGCGCGATTCAACCCAGGATTTGCAGTTTCTAGCGCATGCTTGCATGCAAGTACACATGCATGTGCGTGAGCATGCGCGCACGTATGTGCCCATGCATGTGCATACATGCATGCGTGCGTGCATGCATTCGGCTCACCCACAAAGACCACCGGGCCCATGTGGTTGACCACCGAGAGTCTGTCATTGTACTCTGGTATGGCCGACAGCAGCGCAAACGCGAGGGTGCTGCCCTGGGAGTGACTGGGGGGCGACCAGCAGAAGGGGGGGTGGCGTGGGACGCTCTGTGCGATTTCTGAGGGGCGAGCCTGCAACCACCCTGTGAGTGGGCGCCGGCAAGCAGGGCAGGTCCGCTCGCCGGCTGTGACGATTGGGGACTTAGATGCACTGATATCATATCATGCAGCCCACCCATTGTGTCAAACGGCACAATCTCTGCGCACTCACCCAATGTAAGCTGTTTTCTTGGCATCCGTTTTTGCCAAAGCTGCGGTGTCGTGCAGAGAGGGGCATAGTGGAGGATTGCGTAAGGAGGGGCTGACCAACAGATGACTGACAGCGGATTGCAGCTGTCTAGCGCCAGCCGTTTTTCGTACGCGGGTGGCGTGTGCTGGCGGCCCGGCCTGGAGCCCGCCCCTTGATTGCAGCGCAGGGCTGCCCTTCGTTGCCTGATGCGCGCAGAAGACTGGAGCAAGATGCACCTGGGGCACAAGCGCAAGACCGATCTACTCACTGAAATCGATCATGGTGGGGAGGTCGATCAAGGACAGCTCGTCTATGCTGAAGTGCCTGCGCAGGCAGGGGCGGCGGTTTGACGAGAGAGGTTCGAGGCAGGGTGTTGCTTTGCGGGGGTGGCTTGAGAAAGGTCTGGCAGCCGCAGGCACACCTTTGAAAGCACCACAGACGGACACTCAACATCCAGGCGCGTGTTTCTACATCGCATCCTGCTCAGTATTGTTTGTGCTCTCAGCTGGCGCACGCCTCCGTCGCTGAGAGTTGCGCTACCCACCCCTCCCCCCTTCCCACCCGCCCACCAGAACTCTGCTTGGTAGTTGTTGAGGGACACATGGTTCCTGGAGTAGGTGTTGCCCCTCGTGTTGCCCATCCACACGTCAAAGCCAGCGTCGGCCAGCACGAATGCCAGGGACTCGTTGGGGTTCAGGACCACGAAGCAGCTGGCCGTTGCAGGGGGGTGGGGATTGGGTGGGGTGGGGCGGCTTGGAGGGGTCTGTGTGGCCGCCACTTTGCCTTCCGCTGGCACGTGCAGGAAGCTGCACTGAACTGTGGCGCGTCAGTGTGGCAGCAGGAAACCCTATGTTGGATGTACGCACGCGAAATGGGGTGGCAGCGAGCAAGGCAGGGGTCTGATCGTGAGTGACTCTTGCTCGCGCCCAACGCGTCCACCCAGCTCCCGGAGCACGCTTTTGAGCTGTTAAAATCGCGCCCGGCCGGGCCCCGTGGCGGTGCAGTGAGCGGCGCGGGCAGGAATCACCTACCTGCTGGCGAGGGTGACGCCGTGTTGCAGAAAAACAACGGGCTTGGGGCCGCGCTGCGTGCTGCGATACCTGCCAATCGGAGGTTTTGAGCGCAGGGGAGCTTGGTGTGTTTCCCAAGTCTAAACAGTGAGCTGCACAGACGAAGCGTTGGGATGCAGGCAACCGCCGCCCGCCATGCGGTGGACGTGGCCAGGAGTGAGGTTCAGGGTGGTGCTGCGAGGCACAAAGTAGCGAGACGTCACTTTTTGTGTGCACGTGTAAAAAAAACCCTCCACACGTTTGTGTGAAGGGGTAAACCCTGTGTTGCTGATGTGCCAGAACCAGGTTGAGATGGTGTCCCTTTCTACGGGCTCACTTTCCGTGGGGAATCCTGTACAGGGTCAGCTGCGAGGCCGGAGGGATGCAGGCAGCGGAGGCGAGGCCGTTAGCGGGGGCAGCAGCACAGGCAAGGGCCGGCTGCGGAGGCCTGGACGCGGCGCACCCAGGGCGCCCTGCTTGGGCGCCCCTCAAGCAAGGGTTCAGGGTGATATTCAGGGCCTCGCGATTGTATTCGGCACCCACGATGTATCCGTCCTGTGTGGTGACTTCGTAGGCCTCAAGGGGGTAGCCCTGGGACGTGAGGATGGGGGTGAGGAACAAGGGTGTGACGGGTAGGGGTGAGGTTGAGGGGCAAGGGTGAGGGTGAGGGGTACGGCTAAGGGGTATTGGGATCAGGGGGTTTAAAAGATGGGGAAACTGGGGAAACTGGGCATCACAAGGACAAAGGGGGGACAGCGGACCTGTAGAGCACTGCGACTCCCATCCTGCATCTGTTGGGGCGCCGCGGTCCGGCCAGCAGGCCGACGTCTTTCGAGCAAGCAGCTGCAGGCCCCCTCTGAAAAACTCCCCATCGATGCACATTGCCTGCACGCTTCCGCGGTGTCCGGCTCGCGTGCGCTTCTACCAAACGAAGACCCCAGCCCGGGCGCGCCCTTCAATCTGCCACCGCGGCGATCGTCGCGCCGCGGCCGTCGCCCCCGACCGGTCAACATCGGTCAAACCTGCAGCGGTCAAACCGAAGCGCGCGCAGCCGGCGGCGGCCGAGCCATACCTTGGGAACCACGAGCTCCTCCATAGTGGCGACGTATCGCTGCGCGTCAAGGGAGAACGGGTGCCCGCACGTCCGGTCGTTGGACCCGGCCCCGCAGCCCGTCGGCTCGGTCTTCGGGCGCGAGTAGTAGGTCGCGTTGACGTAGCCGAAGCCCAGGGGCAGGGGGATGATCTTCTCCGGCGGCGGCGAGACCTCAAGGCGCGACACGGGCGACGCGAGGAGTGCGGCGTCGGACGCCGCGCCGCCCGGCGCCGCGCGGCGCTCGGCGCGGGCGCGCTGCAGGAGGTTCTTGTATGTCAGCAGGGCCTCCCCGAGATCGAGGCCGCCGGGCATGATGGAGGGACCGGCTGCGGCCGCCGCCGCTGCTGCCGCTGCCGCAGCTGCGCTGGGGCCGGCGAGGAGCGCCAGCAGCAGCACCGCAGCCGGGTGGGGCGTGCCGGCGCCCATGGTTTGAGCGGCGCTCCCTGCTATTGTGGTGTATGTGATCGAAAGCTTCTAGGGCCCAGCGCATATGCACAAGAAACTTGCAGGTTTGAGGGGAAAAGCTGCTGGACGCGTGCGGCGCGCCATCATGTTGCCGGCGGAGTCCTTGGCGGGTGTCCCAAGGACTGCGCGCGCGCAACCCGCGCCTGAAAAAGTCGCCCCTGCCCGCGTGGCCCTGATCATGTGATAAGATGCCCCCTTTTAGCTTATGTAGGGCCACACACCTGTGTCGCGGCATCATACGTGCATGCACCGACTGCGTACGCACCAGCCTGGTGACGAGGCAGTGCCAGGTGATCAATGCAGCTGTTGCAAGCTAGGGGTCGAGTGATCCCATCGATCTGAGTAGACATTGATGAGCACTCGTACGATCCGTGACGAAGCAGTGTTCCCACAGCATGCGACCAGACAGCACGTTGTGATCTGGTTTGTGGGGAGAGCCTAGCTTCCAGCGCCTCAGAGGCGCTTGGAGGCGTAGTAGAGATGGACGGAGCCATGGGTGGGTAGACACTGACTCGTCCGGTCCCATACGCCTGGGCGGTCCCGTCAAGCTTGGAGCCCACGCTGCAAGCGCCTTCCACCCGTAGGCCCATCTGGAGGCTTCACAAGGGCGGTGGTCCAAGAGGTATGTATGCAACGGGATCTACGGGGGCCTTGCTGCCAGTGCCTCAGATCGCCGGATCAATGGCCTGCTCCTGCTTGATGTACGCAGGGCGAATTCAACGCCACCCAGTATGGATTCTTCGGGGAGATGCAGCTCCCAAATGAGGAGCTGGGCGGCGCTTTGGAGGTGCGAGGGCTGCAGCGTGGCGGCGGCCGAATGGAAGCCCAGTGCAGTTGCGAGGCCGTGCCATCGCAGGCTGGCAGCTGGGGATGCATCCGAGCCGCCTATCATATGGCCTTTTGCGCCGCAGCAGGGTTGTGCGTCGGGGTGCCCTGTACGCTATGCCCCACTCCTGCCACTTGGCAGCTCATGTCTTAAAAGCAACCCGCTCTGTCGTCTCAGCTTTGCCTCGCCTGCCCTCTCACCCCGCATGCATGCACGCACTCTCACACGTACGCACGCACGCACGCACGCCAGGACGGCCTCGAGGCGCCGCCAGAGGAGCACCCCATTGGCGGGTTTGAAGAGGACGACCTCCCGATTGAGCAGATGGTCGGCGACGGCGACGACGAGGACGAGGACGAGGACTTGTCGCTCGCCGCGCTGTTCGCACGCAAGCTCGCGGCCGGCGACGTCGCCCCAGGCAACCGGCAGCAGCAGCAGCAGCAGCAGCAGCACCTGGCGCCCGCGAGCGGCCCCGCGCCGCCGCCGGTGCCGTCGCTGCTGTCCGCCATGCGGTCCGCCGCGTCCGGTGGGCTGGCTGCGCCAGCGGCGTCGCTCCCGCCGGCGAGCCAGCCTTTCTCGATCGGCCTAGACCTCCATCTGGGAGGCCTGCCAGACGGCAAGCCAATAGGCGCCTCCGCGTCGGCCGCCGCCGCCCTGGGGCCCCAGGCGCCCTCCCTCTGGCCCTCCCAGCAACCAGCACCCACCGCGGCCGTCGGGCCCACGGCGCCAGGCGGGACGCCACAGCCGGCCGTCCGGGCGCCGGGTGCGGGGGCAATGGTGGCGGGTGCCATGTCTGCTGAGCAACTGGAGGCCGAAATGATTAGCCGGGCGCGGGAGCAGCAGCAGAAGCAGGCGGCGGCGGCTGCGGACAAGGGCGGTGGCTTGCTAGCGCTGCTCAAGGGGGGCGCAGCTGCGGCGTCCCTGGCGTCTCCCGGGCCACAGCCAGAGCAGCAGCAGCAGCAGCAGCAGCAGCAACGTGCGCCAGGGACGCCCATGCTGCCAGGAGCGCCGCAGGGGCCCCTGCAGCAGCCGTTCTTGCACCAGCAGCCCCCGCCGCCCTGGGCGATGGGGCCGGGCGGCCCCATGGCGCCGCCGCCGCACGGCGCGCCCCGGGGGTTTGCCCCGCACGGCATGCCTCCCCCAGGCGGCATGCCGCCGCATGGGGTGCCTGGGATGGGGATGCCCCCCAACCCCTTCCCGCCCGGCAGTCTTCCGCCAGGCGCGGTGCCGCCGGGCTTCCCGTACGGGCAGCTGGCGCCCCACTTCAAGGGGCCGTACGGGCCAGGTGCGGGGCAGCGGGCTGTGCCCCCGGTTGTGTTGTCGGTCACTAAATTTCAAACTCTGCGTCACTTTGGTGAGTGTCTTGACCGCCACGCGTCCCTTCCCCGCCCCTCCCGCAGGCCCGATGCCTGGCGGGCGCCCGCCCATGATGGGTCCTGGGGGCCCGATGCCGCCCAACATGGGCCCGCCCGCAGGGCCCGGGCAGCTGCCGCCCGGCTTCAACCTCCCGCCAGGCTTCCCGATGCCGCCATTGGGCCCGCAGCAGGTGCAGGGCCCGGGCCCCTGGCCGCCGGCTGGCATCCCAGCCGGGGCCCCGCCACCACAGGCCCCGCAGCAGGCACAGCTGCAGCAGCAACTGCAGCAGCAGCAGCAACTGCAGCAGCAGCAGCAGCAGCAGCAGCAGCAGCAGCAGCAGCCTGGGCCGCCACCTGGGCCTTCCCCACAGCAGCAGCAGCAGCCGCCCCAGCCGACCCAGCAACCCCAGCAACCCCAGCCGCCCGCTGCCCCCCGCCCCGACCCCGGCGCGGCCTTCGGCGCCGGCTACGGCCCCCCGCCGCCCCCGCGCCAGCAGGGCGCGCCCCAGCCGCAGGCGCCGGCCCGCGGCGGCGGGTCCCACGCTTACGGCGGGTTTGGC